CGGGAGCGATGGCTCGAGGTCGAGCAATAGGTGATGAAACAGGCTCTGCAGCTGGTTCCGGGGTTGGTTGCACAGGTTCTGGTGTTGGGATGGGCTCCGGCTCAGCAACTAGGGTAGGTTCAGGATGCCTTGGAGAAATCGGAGAAGTAGACTCCGCACGCTCTTGCATAACCTGTGCGACGTCCATTACTGTGGCTCGGTTTCCTGTACTAGGAATGCGTGCATGTTTGGCGGCAGCACCCGGGGACCGTTCACGGGGGGGAGCACCTATACCAATACCCGGAGACTGTGTTGTCGATGGTGGTGAAGGTCGAGTGTCGCTAGGGGAAACAGACCTAGATCGTGGCTGTGATTGTGCTGGGGCTGACAAACCGGGTAACGCGACTTTTCCAACCATTCCATTTGGTTTGGGTGTCGGTTGAACAATAGATTTGGTTGCTTGTCCAGTCGGTTTAACGCCTATAACGGAATTCTCGCCCCACCGGTCTGTTACGCGGTTTGAAGGATTTAGCTCAGCCGGAGCGCGCTGGATGAATTGGGCGGACGGTTGATGATTGGGTATTCCCGCTTTCATAGGAGCAGGAGATTCCTCCGGAGCGAAACCAGATGAAGTGGAAGAGCTTTGCTGTTTCCGACCTTTGCTTTTGCCTGGTCTCGCGCGGTCTCTTGTGGGCTGTGCGAAGGGAGAAAAAAAAGAGAGAACAAAAAGGTGCAAGGGTTTATTCGGGAAAAAAAGTTAGAATAAATGAAGGAAAATACAAATGAAGGAAGAGAAGAAGTAAGCCTATGTTCCGAATAGGATTACCGAAATCTACGCACATGAAGAAGTGGTTTCCCAGCTGAAGGTAAGTCAGAAGGTGTGCTCGCTTGAGGGACTTTAGCACCAAATTCATCAATGGTAGGTGCTTGGCCCATAGTCTGACGCGGTGGGGTTGCTTGATCATTCTGCGAAGGCGGGCGGACAACCATCATCGTAGTTCTCGAACCCAGTCCAGTGGGAGGCACCTTCTCTGCCATTAAAGGGAGGCGAACTGCTCCTGGCTGAGGCTTCAAGGACGCTTCCGACTGGACTGACTTTAGTACATTCTGAGTAGGCGGCGTGGTTGCCGTAGGAGAGGTAGCCGAGTTGTCAACAGTCCAAGACTTGCGCATAGGACGGGGTGCAGGTGAATTCGTCTGAAAGGTGGGAATGGGTTTAGATTCTGCAGGCGCCACAGGTTGCCATCGGTCAAGAACCGACTGCTTTCGACCACCGCTACCCGGTCGAAGCGATTCAGACGCAGGAGCACTTGAGGATTGTGTGTCGAGATGAGCAGACACCTTGACCATGTTCTGCACAAACCCTCTTCCTTGCAAGCGACTGAGACTCGGTGTTAAGTCCTTAGGAGGGGCTGCACGTTGGAATGCAGGAGAAGGCGACTTGGAAACAGAAATGCGGGGACCAGACGAAGTAGGGTTCTGAGGCGGTAGAGGTTTCGCAAGAGATTGTGTGGAAACACCGACTTTGAAGGAAGGAGAAGAGGGCGAGCCAGGTGTTGGACCAGGAGAGGTAAACGACCGCCGCGTGGTTGGGCTAGGGGGCGTATTGATACTGGGAGGTTGTTTTGCTGTTGTAACTGGTTCTGGAGTTCGAGAAACGGGTCGAGGCGAAGACGTTTGGCGAGGGAAAGCAGGTGAATTATTTCGTTGTTCTTCCCAGCTCGATTTGGCACCACCTGTTGATGGCAGCGCCAACGCCTGCTTAGTTGGAATCGTATCTGAAGGAGAGCTTGTTTGCGTGGATGGACGCGATTGAGGGGATACAGCCGGCTTCTCCCAGGCCGGTTTTGGAGAAAGAATTGGGGGCTGAACAGGCTTAGAAGGAGGCGAGGAATAAGACGAGACGGGTTGAGGGGACACAGCCGGTTTTGAGGAAACGACTGGGGGCTGAACAGGCTTAAGAGGAGGTGAGGAATAGGATGAAACGGGTTGAGGGGATACAGCCGGCTTCTCCCAAGCCGGTTTTGGAGAAGCGATTGGGGGTTGAACAGGCTTTGGAGAAGGCGAAGAATAAGTCGAAACGGGCTGAGCGCTGAATGCACGACTTTGCATTAATTTGGTCGCCTCTGGTGGTGATGATCCTGTCAGTTCTTCGTTCTTGGTAGAAGAGGGAACTGAAGTTGCCTTTGCAACGGCGGGACTCATGCCTGGTAATGGCATGCCTCCTCTGCCAAAGACGGGGTGAGGTGCACTCTGAATCTGAGCGACCGAGCGCGCCTCAAACTGCGTCGGATCGTGAGCATCCTGTTGAGGCATATGTCGATTGAGACGAGGACCGGTAGCTCGACCACCCATGAATGCAGCAAGGGACATCGGTTCGGCGCGAGGTTTCTGGCTGAGCATAGAAGACGCAGAGGCCATTTTGTCTGGAAGGCCAGATGGAGCCGGAGCCCTTCCACTGAGTTTTGCCAACGCCTCTGCTTGCGAGGTTTGCCGTTCTGTCGGAGACTTGGGACCGTCGTTCGATGGCTTGTTGTCCATCTCAATCAGGGATGTGAGCTCAGAACTCTTCGCTGCATACACAATTAGATAGAATGAAACGATAATTTGAAGACCGTCTTAACGCACAAAGGTCAAGACTGTCTGTCTTGCTTCCAGTCAACTGACTGCGGCGACTCAACCTCTTCAAGCGAGAGGCGGCAATTTCGTCAGCAAGCCTCCTTTCTTCTGCTTGTTCATCTGCGTCAACCTAAAATAAATAAATAAATCCGGAATCAAAAATTAAAGCCGAAAAGCTTTTTGTCGTGAGCGCGGCTAACCTGTCGTTGGATCTCTCGAATCTTACTCGCCCAATCTGCTATTCCGTCTCCAGGCTTAGGTCCATCAAAAGAGCTTCCACGAGAGGCCATTGTATCCAATTAGAAAAAGAATTAAACAGAATTCGAAAGTGGCTTTTGGCGAGTATCGTTGGGGGTCCAGTTAAAGCAGTGGTGAGGTCATGAGTGTGAGTGACAAGGTTAACGTTGTAAGTCAGATCTTTCCGAGATAACCTCTCCCTTTGGATTTCTGTAGGTATATACACGAAAGTGAATGGTAAGTAGTGACTAAGTTGATGTCCGTTCGATAATAAAAAAATAATAGTCCCTTGTAGCTGTATGATGTCCATACGTGTTCATCTACAAACAAAATGTGAATGGTGTGTGGATAGAATACGCTAACGACCGCTGTGTGTTTCCTACAACGCAAAAGCAAAAGCGGCCGCTACGGATGCCATGAACCAAACAGCCTGGCTCATAGAGGAGGCGCTGTTCGGGGACTGAGCAGCAAAGCTGGCAGTCGATGCAGTCTGGCTAACGTTGTCTCCCAACTGACCAGCAGGAGCCGCAATAAAGTCAGCACCGCAAACATCTACAAGAGTATCGCTAACAGCCTCGGAGCTCAAAACATCTGGATTATAAATTAGAACGGAGACGTCGGGGGGCGGAAACGGGACGGGTTTTTCTGACCTCCAAATTCTTCCCTAGCAACAGAGAATGCAGACTTCATACATTGAGAGCATGCAATCTCGCTCTTCGTTTGGGATGAGGTTAAAAGAGATTTGGCATCTTGAAGAAGGTTGAACCAGGAAAGATCGTCAACGCCGAGGGGGCCAATAATGCTCTCGAGGTTCGTGATAATTTCCACGGGACAGAATTGGTTCTTAGAGGTACTATAAATTCATTTATTAGTACTCTCTTATGGTAAGGGGAAGTTTTTGGACTTACTCTTTGAGGCAAGCGATGCGCCTCGCAACGGGGAAGACCTTCTGGGCAATGCTGGTTACAGTCTACGAAATCATAAAAAATCTTGCAATTGGCAAAGCGAAAGTGAAACCTACAGATTGGACGTCGCCTTGTGACGCAGATATGCCGATGGTCTTCAAGTCCTGTATATATATATATCGCGTGAGTTGGTGGGTATACGAAAAGAGTACATAAACATTACATCGATGCAACCACCGGTAACATTGGCAACGACATTGGCAATGGCGTCCTGAGAACATTCACCCGCAGAACAAAATCCATCGAGCCAGTTGCCGATAGTCAATGGTACGTTCTGGTTGACGGCAATCTGGAGAAGAGCGGGTGCATTCAAGCAAGCAGCATCGGGATTCGTCAAGAAGCCCTTGAGAGACTGGATGCAAGTATCTGTTAGACTGTGTAGCAGCATCAGCTTCATCGTCGGTGGCAACCAAAAAGTGTTGTGGCACGAACGCATGGGCGAATCCAGCGCCTAGAAGGAGGGTGGGGAGCAAAGTCTTGGGTGCCAGCATAGCGAATGTCAAAAAGGATTAACAAGTGAAAGAGAGCGAAGAAGGCTTAGAAGAAATAAAGAAGAAAGATGAACGGCGGAATCAACCCGTACTGCGCTCATCGAAATAGACACTGGCACAACTTTGGCGATGCACCCAACACAATGGTAGTCTCCGAGGTTGCAACTGGGTGTCGCATCTCGGGCCCCAATCGCGTTGTTATCCAAGACTCGATCCAAGGCTGTTGTTAGTGCAGTTATAATCGGTGTATAATACACGAGTGGGAGCGTTGTACTGCTTGGCACTAGAGCGAGGGGTAGAATATCCCGGGGATACAGATGGGTCGCTGAAAAGCTTACTTTGGGGAATTCAGAAGGTGGGCAACATTGCCCTCTTTTCTGCTGCGCTTCGGATAAAACGGCCCCCCCTTTTCTTATGTAAAGTATTAGATCTAGCAAACGTCCACCAGTGCCACAAATCCAATAGATTGCGAAGAGTCTGCTAATTTCGGTCCCAGCGTTTAAATTAGGAGATACATCCAAACGGGGGAGATTCTATTTCACATTAACAACTTTGTACTTCACCCTCTCAGGTGCGTATATCCACGTCCTAGAGTTGCTCTTCAACCCCTACTGCACATTATTCCTTCGGCAAGGCGACTTCGGAGGGAGCTGGGGCAAAAGGGTGAACATGCGAATTCAGTGAAATGTCTTTAGGAAAGAAAAAAGTATGGCCTGAGGGTGGATCGAACACCCGACCTTACGAACTTCAGTCGTACGCTCTCCCAATTGAGCTATCACGCCATCTGTATAAGGCAAGTAAGAGACAGCCTTTTATTATTGTCAATCGAGTATAAATTTAGTATATACCAATTGAAAGCTTTGAGGATTCGATGTGGATATTGTCGAGACAGGCATAGAAATAAAAAAGGGAGTTTAATTCATGAATTAAGATGAGAAGAACGAAGAGAGCAACTTCGGTCTCTGACTCAGTTTCCCCCGCCTTCAAAGTCTGAACAACAGCTTGGCGGGAAATGACGAATGTGAGTGAGAGGGAAATTGCCCTTGACTCTGAACCCCCATCTGAACGTTCGCCAATAGGGATCGCGCTCATGTGTTAACGAGAATTCAAACCAATCTTGACATCAATTCGTAGAGCCCGCCATAGCAAGTGGTGTTTGTCAGCCTGCAACTATGAGGTTGAAAGACTTGTCAAATTAATAATTATACAGCATCGATTCTAAGGAGGAGGCTGATGTCATCGAGGAGTAAGCAAGAAAGGGTGCTACATCAACTCAACTGGAATCTATATTGTACTTGGATTTACGATACGATCCTGCATGGGAGATATAATATACAAGGAAGTTTCGAAGATACGATAAGATATGTTCGAGGGTTTTCTAATGGTAGGAAAGACCTAACGCCTAATGGGACTCTTTATGATTTGTTCATTAGTAGGCTACTAAGCTCGTGAACCTTAAGCTTTCGATGACCTGATTCATTTGGACCTACAGTGTTTGAGAAACACCTGTTTGTCATCCCCGCAAGATTCGCAATAACATATTAGGAAATTTTGTACTGCGAGCTGGATGGAGTTCGGTCTTAAAAACGGACTGGGTTAATAGTAGTAAGTTGGTCAATAGTGAATGCTGAAGGAAGAAGGTGAAGGAGTGGAACCAAGTGCACAGATCTCATCGAGTGATCAAGAGTCGGAAGCTTTTGCCACTTTCAACCAAACGTTCAACATGAGTTCAGAATCGCGTCGTGCTAGAGGCGTGTCCTCAATGGTATGTCGACAAAACCAACGTTCGTCTGAGCGTACCACTCAAGTCTGGCTATCATGCCTTCTTTCCTCTCTTCTCGTCGTCGCATCCTTCTTCGACGCAAACGATCCTCCGCATCCAACTCGACATCCACTGGCTCTTCTTCTTCTTCTTCTCGCTCAACCCAGCATTTTAAAACGGCTGCCTCAGGCGTTCAAACAAAGTCCATGAGAAATGAAATTGTACGCCTCGTGAGCACTATTTCGGAGGCTCAGGCGAAGAAAGCTTTCGACGCGGAGATGCAATCTTTCTTCTATCTTTTCACAAGATACCTTGATGAGAAGGCCCGAAGCCAGGAGCTGTAGGTCGAATTTCACGCTCCTTTACATTTTTTTTTACCAACTTTGGGATAGTGACTGGGACAAAATCAAGTCTCCATCAACTAACCAGGTTGTCCCATACGACCAACTCCCCACGTCAGCGCAAACTTCTTCATTGAGCAAACTTGCCGTTCTCAAAGTTAATGGAGGACTTGGAACCTCCATGGGTATGTATCCCTTCTTTTTATATCTGGGGTTAACCTCGCGTGACTCTAAATTATAGGGATGACTGGCGCGAAGAGTGCTTTGGAGGTGAAAGATGATATGACGTTTCTTGACCTTACAGTCCGTCAGATCGAGCATCTCAACACTTCTAAGAAGGTTGATGTCCCGTTGATTTTGATGACGTCTTTCAACACGCACGAAGACACTTTACGAATCATCAAGAAATACGCCAACCAGCAGCTGAGAATCACGACTTTCAACCAGTCGCGGTATCCTCGTATCCACAAAGAGACTCTTCTTCCTGTACCCCAAAGAGCCGATGATGACAAGTCTGCATGGTATCCACCAGGCCATGGAGATCTGTACAACGCTCTGACGGCGTCAGGCGTCCTCGACCAACTGATTTCTGAAGGTAAAGAGTATCTTTTCGTCTCTAACTCTGACAATCTCGGAGCTATGTATGTTTCATTTTCCTTGTTTGCTTAGATTATGCTCATATTGAATCGACAGCGTGGACGAACGTATCTTACAGCATATGATGGATAGTGGCGCAGAATTTCTTATGGAGGTGACAGACAAGACCAAGGCTGATGTGAAGTATGTTCACAATTCATTTGGTATTCTTCAGATTCATTCACGTCTTGTTAGGGAGGTACTCTTATTGACTACGAAGGCTCAATTCGCCTTTTGGAGGTCGCTCAAGTCCCATCGGAGCACCTTGAGGATTTCAAGTCTGTTCGCAAGTTCAAAATATTCAATACCAACAACTTGTGGATTAATTTGAAAGGTACATTTTCTCTCTCGATTGCTTATTGTTTCAGTGCTAACGTTCACACAGCTTTGAAGAGAGTCATGGAGGGTGAAGGCATGGAACTGGAGATTATTGTCAACCCTAAGAGTATGGATGATGGCACCCCTGTTATCCAGCTTGAAACTGCGTCTGGTGCAGCCATTAAACATTTCCACAACGCCCATGGCATCAACGTTCCCCGTTCACGTTTCCTTCCGGTTAAGAGCTGTTCAGATTTGCTCCTGATCAAGAGCGATATTTATTCTCTTGAGCATGGTCAGCTCGTTATCAATGAGAACAGAATGTTCGGCAATACCCCTGTTATTAAGCTTGGTGAACACTTCAAGAAGGTATGTAGTTTCGTATGTAATGTGTTTGGCGTGCTAAGGTTTACTCATTGTATGCAGATCCAAAACTTCCAAAACCGCTTCAAGAAAATCCCAAAGATCATTGAGCTTGATCACTTGACCGTGACTGGCGATGTCTACTTCGGAAGAAATGTGACCCTCCGTGGAACTGTCATTGGTAATCCCCATTGCTGCCCTCTTTCATGAAAGCCTGCTCAACACTCCTTTAGTTGTTGCAAATGAAGGCCAACGAATTGACATTCCTGACGGTTGTGTTTTGGAGAATCGATTGCTTTCTGGCAATCTCATTATGACGGTAAGTACCTAACTTCAGCTCTGTGTTCCTGAGGTGATTGCTGAGGCTCAATGGTTGTTTAGGACCTTTGATGCATTTATACGTATTCATCGACCATTACGCTAGATTACACACGACATTTTCACGTTCGTATAGAGTACATCTTGGAATACTAGAAGCACACGGCTTCGGAAGCAATATCCCTTTTCCTTCTGACTCCATGTTGAAGCGTCCACTCAATGCACCTCTGCCCTCAGCGAAACGACAACATACCTAAATCTTCGCACTTCTATCGTGAACATCTTTTTCCACATTCTTTAGATGCGTTCAGCGATGAACTCATTCTGTCAATCTTTACACACCTGAGCTTCGCGGACCTCTGTAGAATTCAGACGACGTGTAGGACTTGGTTGCGACTCTCTCTCGATAACGAGGTTAGAATCATTATTTTGTATTTCATTCGAACTGCGCTTCAATATCTGATAATTAGCTCTGGAAAACCTTATATATCTCCACATTTGGTGGACGCACTCGGCTCCGCGGTGCGAGGGGGTTCTCTGGACCGCATGAAGAGCGCATTATAAGGCCTCTACCTGCCCGATCCTCAGCATTAATTCAGGATACAACGGTGGGGATAGACTGGAAATGGTACATATAATCTCTCCAACGTCTCGACGAAAACGGCGTTTTTCATCCATGCTTGCTCTGATAGGATGTTTCGGATAAGTTGGAACTGGAGAACAGGTTCCGTTTCATTTTATTTCCTAAATACATTGACTCACGCATACAATGGTAGGACGGTGTCACCTCGTCCCAGAGCCTGAGGGAACCCGTTCACTGTACCGACATTCGGCCAGTGCCACAGGTTGTTGGAACGCACCTGCTGTTATCAGGATCTCTCACTGTAACTGCATCATCCGCCGAAGCAAACCCTCCGAATATCTATGCGAAGACACCCTTATCTGAACTCACCTTCCCAACCCGGTCGACCTTAGCCCAGGGATTCTTACAGGATAAGCTGCCTCGCATTGGATCAAGCACCTCATTCGCATAATTCACCTCGTCTAATTGCATGTCTTTCAACAGGAGAGATCTCTGTCTTTGAGATAGACCTCAGCCAACTAAGGAATCCAGTCTGCAAAATGACCTATGTTCCACATCGACAACAGGCAGCACTCGTCCTTCAAGCTGCATATCACCATCCTCTTTTGGTGACCCTTTCAGACGCATTTCAGCTTTGCATATATGACTTGTCCAATGACAGCATACATCATAAACAGACTTTGACGTCGTTTTCCACATATCCCCCTACAAGCTTCGTATTGTCACGGCCATTGGCATCGTCAACTTATAAACTTGTCATGGCTTATGCAATGCCAGTATACGTGCGTGTGTTTGATTGCTGTACTTCCCAACTGACTGAAGCAGAACCTCTTTAGCCTGCCCACTGGTCAGTCGCGACAACGGAAGTCGTCATCTCAGGCTTTCCAACTCCAAGTCTATCCTCAAACACTCTTCCCGACAGCACAAGAAGTGATGAAATCCCTGTTTCACACAGGTTCTCCTCCAATAATGGTCCTCTCCACGCGAACGACCCGGGCCCTAGGATGTGCCCCAAGGCTGGGTGGACGAAACGAAGCTTAAAGCTATGCGAGAGCAATGGAGTCGCAAAGTGACGAGTGTTTCTGAGACTCAAACCGATGGAAGATGGGTTGTATTGGCACCCGGTGCCGATATTGCTGATGGAGAGGGTGAATATTTGAAACGGAGACCAACAACACTGCAGCTTTACAAGTTGACTTCACCAGGAAATTCGGCTTCGATACCAAAGCTAACATTTGTGCGAAGTTGTATGCTCTCTATTATTTTCTGCGGAGGTGGATGCTTATGCTCATGCTTTCCCAAGTACATGGCCAAACGGGGCAAGTTACTTCGCTCGCACTCTCAGATGGCCGATGTGTGTCTTTGTCAGACAACGGATGTATCTGTGTGTGGGACCTTGAGGGCTCAAATATGGGTGTTCAAGTCTCGCCTGGATCTGTGGAGGGGAATGCGAGCGTTGAG